AGTAGATACAGAAGGCAATTCAGTTACATGTCCGATAGGTATTCCAGTAGTGCAAGTCTATTCTCTCTGCCGACAGTTGGCACAAGTTCAGATTTTAATCAACAATGGATAGCTGGGGAACAGTCTTCTTTCAATTCAGATATATCATACCCATACTCGCGTAGTTATGGTTTGCAAAATTCTTATGATGGTTCATGCTCAGGGCTAGGAGTAGGTACCCAAAATCCATTCCTCAGCCAGTGTAGCAATGTACCAGAACAGCCACAAATAACCCCATCAATGAAAAAACTGAGGATTAGACATGCTGGTTTCAATGCATCAGTAGATGTTCCATCAAAGAAACCCACGCCCAAAACAATGAAAAGGAATTTGAGTTTACCGCCGCACTTGAGTTCTCAGATGTACTCTTCAATTCGAGAAGAATCTATTCCGTCCCCATCATCTCGAAATTGCAGTACAGCACGCGCTCCGAAACTAGCATTTCATACTCCTGGTTCAACACCCAACCAGAGTTTTGATTTGCATGAATCGTACATTCCACATTCAATGGTGAACAGTTTTCGAGGCAATAGTAAAAGTAGTTTATTCTAGAAGACATTGATGAATACTCACCTCCTTCAGTGATTCACGGCGGTAACAATAATGTATCCTCATCAATACGTGCATCTGTTTCTCAAGGATCCAATTTACCGCATCCTCTCAACAAGCTGGCACTTGCAACGCAACCTGAGATTTCGGGGTTCATTGAACAAAACAAAGCCGACAATACAAACAATGATAATGTACATTCTTCTAGAAAACATGCACTAAGAAAACAATGGAATACATTTAGCTGTAATGAAAACCTAGAAGAAGAAGAGAAATACAACAATAATAATAACAATAGTAATATCAATTTCGAATCATGTAGGTTATCGGCATTAACTTTGAATTCCCTATACCCATTATATAATACCTCAAAGAACACTCGAAGTAACAAAGAACAAAACAGTAGGGAATCTGAAAGCAATAAAAGCGCAAACAGTAAATATATATAATAAATATTTTCGCTTAAGGAGTTAATACAATCCAACAAATATACCTTTTTCCAATATTTTACACTAAACTCGTCGAAAAATAGCGAAAATAAATTCCATACAAACCACTAAAAAGTCTTTTCAGTGAAAATTAATTCCAGATAAAAAAAGTATTTTACAGTACAGTACTAAACTGCTCGTAAATGATAAGACAGCCATATATTAGCTACACATGTAGTGATGACATGTACACATGTAGTGATGACATGTACACGTGTAGTGATGACATGTACACGTGTAGTGATGATATGTACACGTGTAGTGATGACATGTGGTCTGGTACTTGATTTGTTATTGTTTTGTACATAATATTACATGTATCTTGATGTAATTACCGTATGTTGTTTGAAGATTTTTGTTGATTGGACGTTTTTTATTAACTCTAATAATGACACAGAGGAATTGTAGATGAGTGAAATGTACGTCTTCTTAGTTCTCCTTGTATTCGAAGTTTTGATAGTATATTCTCTAGTTTGATTTTTTGCCGCGAATCGTATCGCTATTGAAATGTACAAACTTTTCCGACAAGCCATCCAATGGGCATGATTGAAACCACTCCGCCATGCGATAATACTGTGACAACCCGTAACGACAATAATCTAATAGTTATTAAAAATGTTACAATATATTATAAGTGAACATAAATGTATTTTTAATTTAAGTTTCTATTGAAATTTATACTCATAATATTCATTGTCCAAGCATCGGCTGAACACGCTGAATTGTGGTCCCTCAACCACGCCGCCAACGGCGGTAATCAGTTACCACATTATTACGCTATACCAATACGGCGAAATACACCTCGCTTTCTAGTAACGAATCACTTCCGTGACGTCAAAATGACGTAGAAGAAAATGGGTGGGAGCTATTTCGTTCGACAGTCTGTGTGAATATGTAGTCATGTGTCAATTAAAAAAGATCTTTGAAAAAAAACAGTAATTTAGTGACGATCATATAAGTCGGATCGAACGCATTTTCGAGGCCGTGAACGCGCCACTAATATTGCTATTATTATCACAGTCGTGTTTCGTCGCTAGAAAGCTGCACTTTTACGATTGGTTTATTGTATTGTATCCTACACATGAATTGGGCATTTCACACATTAGTGCATTTTTACTGAATGATAACTTTCCTTAATCACGATGTATTATTACAGCGATTACGCTGACTAATGTACCATCGCACAAAGTATTACCTTGATATCCATGCTTATTATATATATGTATAAAACTATGTTTTCTTTCTGTTACATTGACTGCAAGTGGTTAATGCTATCTTGCGTGATTTACTACTTGATTATATCCTGTTATAGTACGACATAGTGTTACCATGGTTACTGTCTTTTTATATAATTAAAATTACGAATGGACTCGTAGTGTTGTCATGTTATATAGACATATAATGTTACTAATTCTGCATAATACCAGTAAATAAATACGTAATTAACTTAAATTCTCTCATTCAGGTCACCAGTGTTTTTGGCAGTTCGATATTCAGCTGAGGTTAGCAACTTACTCATATTCATAGGCTGGTGCGATCGTATTCGACTGGAAAGATGTGTATAACGTCAGTAAGGCCAGACTTTTATTATCCCTTGTTTCGCGAACCCGCCGAATGAACAGGAGCCGAAAATGAAATAAAAATATAATTTTATTTCAGCGTAATTTCTCGCGCCCACCGACTTGTAAGCGCAAAACAATGCTAAAAAATATTTGTATCTCCATTTTTCTATCGCCCGCCGCATAACAAACTCAAGTCGCATTTTCGTGGGAGTATCATGATCAAAGTATCGAAGTCTCGCGCAGATGAGAAACAAGGTTATACATGGAATACAAATTTATTTCATTTCTTCTCTCCGATCAATGATCTCACTTACAATTCTTTGAGAATCACACAATTCTAATGGAAAAAAAAGAATTAATTTTATTTTGTTTTCGTCCTCCTCAAAAAAATTGCCTTATAAAAACTCGCGAAACAAGGAATAAAAAAAGTCTGGCCTAACAAGCCATGCATGCCACAGTCCCCCTTATAGTTATCAAATTTAAGATTTATAGTTTTGTTTATAGTAATATAGCTGGAATATAAACATGTCAGAAGTATGGATCAGAAGCTTGGTGCTTGATTATGATGATTTGTTAACATTAAAATGATTGATATTCAGTCATCTTGTATCTGATCATCAAACGAGTACTTGTCCATATTGATAGATAATGAAAACAAATTGACCACCAGTCGGCCATTTTGAATACATCTATATGTCTATGACATGATGTGTAATGAATATATAACATTTGAACATAATCAGTCTAAAACCGCATTCATTAAAACAAAATGACCGCCAGTATATACCAAGTTTGTTTAAAATCCATCTGCCAGAAATGCTTGATTTCAATACAAAATCTGCCGCCATTCGGCCATCTTTAATTAGATTTGTAAAACAAATTAATGTGCATATGTATCATGTATGTGTGAAGTTTGAATGTAATTAACCCTGGTGTATCTAGGATATAGGCCCGGACGCACGCACGCACACACGGACACACGCACAGAGGTCAATCCGAACGGGGGCTAATAATGACCAGACGTAAACTTGGGGTTTAATCACGATTATATACTAGTACACAACTAGTACACATCGTTGAAGCAGTTAAGAAACATACATGTGTATATTAATTAAACGACAGCTTAACAGTAAGTGCGCGCGTCGCCATACGATATTAAAATACAAAATTAAAATGTCTACTGAATTTGAATTAGACAATGTGTCGCCACAAACTACTAGTATATTGGAGCTAACATATGCGAATATGAGACACACTAAGAATTGATATCTAGCCACATAATAAGCAATGTGTAATATTAATCGGTCATATTCAAACCAGACAACGCGTCGCCTCAAATTATAGTGAACATGTGCACTATGACACAATCAACGCGGTTAGATAGGGACAATTTACCACGACTTCGTGACACCCTAATAATTGAATGTGGCAAAATAAACAATTGTCTAAATATAACATTGACTTTTTTGCGCGAATTAATGATTAATATTAATGATTGAATTACTTCCTTGAACTTAATAGTTCTAAAGTTCCCGTTTGTTTATTTGACACATGTGTAAACCGAAAGAACCACGTGTTTTGTTTTTCACTTTCTTGGGTCTATCTGTAATTTTAAGCTATTAGAGAAAGTGACATGTGTTTCCACGGTGTTTAATGATATATTAGCTTATAAGAATGCAATGGCAAATAGGACGCATTTTGTCAACACGTGAAGACAGTATTTATTTGTGATTCAGTTAACATCGTGTCATCTCAATTTAAAACGTAGCATTTCGAATCATTTGAAAGTCGCTGCTATTGATTTTTGTGATCGGAGAATGATATTCGTAATCATAAATAAGTGCAAATAAAGCAACACATCGTCAAAATGGGTCGGTAAATAATGTTTGGGCTAAGGAATCGTGTCAATGGACAAACACTAACCAGTTACTAGTATTTCACAAGTCGTTTATGCTTCATTGATTGTCGATTAAATGAGATACATCGTCCTAATGAAATCATAATCCACTGGACCTTTTTTGATTGACGTTATTGCATCGTGTGGGTCATCAACTGATTTATGGTGAACATTTATAAAACTCGTATTATCTCTTACCAGTGTGGTGTTTAAATCATATCTCGCTATCAGGCAGAATCGCATCTTTGTGAACGATGAACGATGAAACTACGTGTCACACTAAAAATGCAATTCTCCGTTTTGAGTTAATACAGATAAACACTTAAAGTCATGTTGAATTCCGGGTGTCGATATGAAGCTAAAAAAACAAACATCCCGTATTCGACTCAGCAAAGGGATTATGTTATAGCGCCCTCTCACAGCCAGCACTCACTGGAGTAAAGAAAACAAACTAAATAAGGTCGTAGTGTATCAGACTCCGCTTCTTTCTTCTCCGTTGTCCAATTCTGGCGGTTTATTTCCGGTTTAACAGAACTCACACTGTTTTACTACTCGTCGACATTATAGTAAATAGTTATAGCACAGTCAGTTGTCGTAACACCACACAAATAGACAGCTTAGCCATATTGGTTTGGTTCTTGTGAATTTGTTTTGTTCATTTTCTATTCCGTGTGGCAGCATTGTGCCAACAAATTACTTTGAAAATAGTCATGTCGTTGGAGACGGTACCTAAAGAACTAAGGAATATGCGAGCATGTTTGCTATGCTCTCTTATAAAGGTCAGTCTTGTGATTTACTCTGATTTATGAAGTAAATGTGTGTATTTTGTATTTATTTGTTTAGCAGTGAGAAATGCATGAAACAGAGTATGCTCCGAGTACAGTCCTGTAGGTTAGCTTCCTTTCGCTGATCATTCAGTCCCACAGTCCTGAGAAATTATAGAAACCGGAGATTCGACATGTGACATGTGAAGCGCAGTATCGGGTGATTTTAGAGGCATTCGGCTTTGCACCTAAAAAAATAAGCTAGTCGATACGTCTAACTATTCAAAATACCTCTACTGGAAGCAAACTCATCTTGGAGGGGGGAGGGATAATCAGTGGAAGGAGACCATCCTGCAAGACTGTACTCGGGGCTAGGTATGTTGGACCATGGTTTCAATTATTTGAGAGCTGTCATGTGCAATTACACAGCATATGTGTGTTTAGTCACAGTTCCTCTGTATTTAGGATTCAGAACAATAATAAAAAAGTTTTTTGGCTTACATGCCTCAGATCATGCCATGAAGGTTTGACATTCTCAAAGACAGAGCTAAGTTGCGATCCCCCCAAAACAGACAATGATTTTTCAGATTAACCAGTGTTCTCCACAATCCAAAATAGCTGGTGGGTGGCATAATTAGCATAAATTTGCATATTAATTTGCATGTCATTTACATACATCTTTCTAGCATTTATGTCATGAAATGCAATACACACTAAGTTATTTACTATTCTCTTTTTAATTTAATTGAAACATGTTAAAAAATTTTGAAATACAAACAGATTGGTCACTATTAATATTTACGAAATGCAAAAAGTTTGAAATCGGTGATTTATACGTTCGCAAATTATTCTGCGTTCAAGAAATGCAATTCGAGTAACCAAGAGCAAGTACGAGTAATCAGTTATAATGTAGAAAATATATGAGGTGATGTGTTCCCGACGCCAAAACGGACGATTTGTCAAAATAAAACTCATAACATTTTTTATTTGTGGCATCAGTACTCACCCGTGCCGACGGACGGTAAGATGCATTTACGCATGTACGGTCACGATACGTTGCGTTTTCACACGTTGTTTTAGGATTCAAGAAAAATGCTAGCAATCGGCAAAATAAAAGAATCTGCTATGTTCTCGAAAGATTAGACATAAAAAATGGATAAATGAAAAAAAGTACGTGGAAAAGATAACTAAAATATTATTCAATTACAAATACTCGCGGTAAACTAATCCGGCAGCCATGTTTGATGTTTATTACCGCTTTCCGAATTCAGAACACGAACACCCAGAATGCGCTGCTCCCCTATGCAACTTAGATACTAAATCGTTACAGTGGTGGGTGGCCGACGGTCGTTGAATGGGGTAGGCCAAAAGGTCACCAGTTTGCCTTCTCCATGCTGTTTTCACGATGAAAATCGAGCGAACGTTGTAAATACGGCTAGAATTTTAATTTTTGTTCGAGTTTACATACAATATGCTAATATATTTGTTTATTTTCTGTGCATATACATTTCGTTCATATTTAATTCTTTCTTTCGTGATTGGAAGACGATTATTAAAAATACAGCTGTAAATTGAAACCACTGTAGTTGCGTATGGTGAGCAATAAGTGGCAACAATGTCGGGCGACAATGAATTCAGGCGATTGACACATTGCGATGAATACACTTGATAACTGCTTGCAGACTTCCAGTGGTTATTGTTTATGTCTGGACTCTTGAAACAATAGCAAAATAAAGGGTTGGGCAACTACTCTTTTGTTTAGGCTTGGGAAGAACAATGCAAGCTTTTTACAAATAATTTCAGCTGGATGTACGTTGGTGGGCGGGTGTTGAGAGTTACTAGGCGGCCGTAAAACTTGATGGGCGGGCCGCCCACCTAAAACCCCTTGTGGAGAACACTGTTAACATCTTTGTTCCCCCCTCTCCTTATGCTAACCAACTTCCACTTAGCTAACGAAAAAGGAAAGTCCCTTGCGGCCCCCTCGCCCCTAACCTAAGCCCTAATGCATATACAATTAAATTTGGGAAGAGGCACTGGTAAGTAGTACCGGTAAATCTATTTAACCAAAAAAGCTCAAAATTTAACCAAAATTTAATTCTGATGATTAGATTTGAAAGTCTATACGCGATAATGTGTTTGCCTTTGCTTCACACATTATTTTTCCATATACCCTTCTACCCTTTATTGCTTAAATATATTTTCTTAAACTGGAGATTAATTGGTGGCACACTCTAATGGAAGCGTATATTAGACCTAGTAGAAACCATAAGATTATCGATTTTTTTTACATGTTTTCATTATTTACTTTCAGACATTTGAACAATTTGAAATGGATGGTTGTGATAACTGTGATATGTATTTACAAATGAAAGGAAACAGAGATATGGTTTATGATTGTACAAGTTCATCATTTGATGGGTAAATTAACACCAATTTGTCTCTTGAATGTTTTACATATTAATTTGCAATTTTAAACTACATTTATCTTAACTTTTATGTTATTTTTGTTACTGGTTTTTAAAATTTATTACATTACAGCTTAAAATGATTTGTTTAATTTCATTATGGTGTAATCTTTTAGCCTTGCTTGATATACGTTTTACTGGCATCTAGCATAAATAGTTGTAGCCGAAGGTTTACTAGCCAAAGCCATAAGTCTAATATTCTACTTACTGCATACTGACTACAAATGTACCAAGAATATTAGCAGTCATTAGTCTTTTACTGACTATCTTTGAAGAATGAGAGGTTCAGGGGGATATGATCAAAGTGTTTAAAATCATGAATGAGATTGATTCTTTTATTTTGTAATTGAGGTCATGTTTATAAACTAAAATGACAAAGCAGTTATCTCAGTGTGCGAAAATATTTATTTGCATTAATCATAGTGACATGCGTAACAAGTCAGGTGACTGTGTAGAGGCCACTGGGAACAGTGTTGTCAATGAAGTGAAAATTGTTCCTTATGTTTTCATCATTTTTGATTTGTTTTCATCCTTGCAGAATAGTCTCATTGATGAGTCCAGAAGATAGCTGGGTTGCAAAATGGCAAAGAATAAGTAAGTTACATGTGGAGTTTTTTTTGATAGTCAAACTTGTGTATAACGACCCCCAAAGGTAATGGTATTTTTAGATCAACTGGTATAGATGGCGGGGGAGTTTGGATCACTATTTTTTCAAGAAAATAATGAGATGGTACTGCTGCAACAAAAACAATTTAAGGTAACGAGAGGGGAAAAACTAAAAAAAAAAACTTTCTTCTAAAAATCCCGGATTATGCAACCTTATATTGTGTACTTTCTTTATCTTTACAGTGCACGATGCATTTGTTGAGTAATTTCAATTTATTCCCGGAAACTTAGTTGTAGGTGAACACGTCCTTCATGCATTTACATATCATGTTGAATGACAGACTGAAGACAAAGGATTTAATTTGCATACTGATTTGTTGACCATCCAGCTTTATTATATCCTGTGTAATCTATAAGTAGTGTCCGTTACGCGATCGAAGCACAAACAAACATTACACTATAGTATTTCAAGTTTTTCTCGGTGTTTTAATAACCTAATATATCATGGGAAGGAGTTTTAAGATGAAAAAAAAACTGGTCGGCAAAAAATGTCTGACGCCGTTAACAGATATCTAAATGAAAGTGGCCTGGGCTCATATTACAGTCAGCCCGCAGAGTGAAATCAAAAATGTAACTCCGTGACTGACATTTTTCCTGCGTCAAAAAAGAGTGGACATTCTTTTTATGTGAATCGTAAGCTGGTGATCGCGGCTCGTGGCATTGGAAAAGGTAGTCGCGCAATGCGTAAATTTAGTAGCTATATGGGATTACCGCCTCCTCTATTATATCTGGAATCACATTCAGAGAAAACACTCAGAAAGTTTTAGACGTTGCTAAAAGACTAATAGAACAAGAATTTCAAGATGCCACCGATGAAATAAGAAAACTCAAAACAAAATTGGCGGAGATAGACGAGAGTGGTGACACAGATGAAAAAACAGTGGATACAGCGGTTTCTGACGACAGGTCAAGTTGGGTGGTCCCAGTCCGAATTCAAATATCAGTGCGTGAACTCTGGAGGTCATTACCCAATGCCGCACGTAATTCAAATATGTGAATAGTAGAGTTCAGTCAAAATGTACGTGAATAATGCAAACGAAGTGCGCTGCCCAGAGTTTATTATATTATAGTAAAATTTAATATGACGCACGTTGTGGTTTATATTACATATTCACTTCATTTCGAATAAAATAATTCACCATTGGAACATCGATGAATCACAAGTATTTAAAATATTTTCTTGACTTTCCGTAGACACCCGACTACAATCCTTTTTAATGACTTAAATGCGCCCATGTTTATGTTTGCGTAATTATTATGAATGCAATGCATTATCAAGTCAGTATTATGAGTAAGATTGAAATATTCACAGACCCAATACCCCGGTCAGTGCCCTAACAATGGTAAAAGATAAAATGAATTTTGCGTAGTTATCATGAAAGCAATACAATAACATTACAAAGTTGAAATATTCAGAGCTGGTACAATATTGTAAACAAATTTGCGTAATTAGAAAAGCAGTGCACCAAGTAAACGATGTTGATATATTCAAAGTACAGAGTTGCATACAAGTTGCGTAATTACAGTACCGTCGGATATAAGTTTACTAGATCGACGCGCAGAGCATGAAAGAAAAAAGTTGCTAAGATAACACGCCAGTTCAGTGCGTGATTTTGGGTCAAACTTCGGTCAACATACACTTGATGTCAGCATCGCAGCGCAGCAAGTTTCGCAAAGAAGTACTTGAAGTTCAATTGCACCCCAAAATGATGTCACTGATCACTCAGTTGTTGCATCGTGTGTTGTGTCATGTCATGTCCATGATGCACCCCGTTTCGACTTTGGCTTGCTTTTCCTGCTTAGTGCATGTTCTTGTTCACGTAAAATGCGACTTTTCCCCAACGTATTAAAACACTTTGAATTTATACTTTGAATGATTATATTTGGTCAACGCGAAACATTATTTTTTTTCTAAACATTTTCTGAGACCATTTTTATCAGCGCAGGGATATTTTTCAGACAAGATGGGCTTCGTAATATCTGCCATAACATCGCCCGGGCGATCTTTTGGTCCACATTTTTCTAAAAAAAATCGAATTCTCCATAAGATCGCCCGGGCGGGGTATCGGCCGAATCCGGTAGTGCTGACTTAGAGCTAACTGATTATAACAAATCTGATAACGGTACACTCTCCATAGGCTGAGAGTAATTAAAACAAATCTGTACTTGAAGGCATGTATATCCAGTAAGTAAATAAATGCTGTCATGAAGGCCCGCCCTATCTTTAGAAAACCGATTGTACTGTTGACAGTGTTCAACATAACAAAGGGACTTGAATAAATTAAGTGCGCGGTACGCCATCTTGCTCAAGTTAGCACCCACTTTCGACGAAACTGCTTTTGTCACGTTTTAGGAAACAACCGACCAATTTTTCACGAATCTAACATTCCAGGCATATCAGATACTTGTATATTTACAAAGTATGATCGAAATGGTCAACATTTTGTCATTAATTAGCTGTTTATCTGTGGCCAAATTCGAAAAAACGTTTTATTGAGTTTTTACGGAAACTAATTTTTGACTATTATAACTATTGAAGATGTCATTTTTCAACATTTTTCTCTACGCTAACAATGTATAAAATTGGCTAAAATATGATGTCTCATGGACGTTTATGTGAGCCGTTGACGTTGAGTTACGAGCTTGGGAACAGGAAGACGTTTGTAAAAGTTAGTCCATAAAGTTCAACAGGCTTTATCTCCAGAACTATGGGGCACATAAAAATTTCGAGACGCATTCTCAAAGATCATTATCTTATAAAGCAACAGTGAAAAGATCAGAAACATAGAAATAAGGAACACTGCGAAACGGCCAATCTTGCAAAAAAACTCTATGTTTAGGAGGTTAACGGGAACAATCGTAACTTAATCCCCTGAGCAAATATCAAGACGAAACATATATGATCGTATTCTGCTTATATCTCAGCTTTCTGAAAACATATACATTGCCATAACTGCATGCTCAGTAACTGGTGAGGAAAGTCCTAAACTCCATTAAACTATAAATTATGTTTCCCCTCTCGCTACCTTAAGTTGGTCAAAATCAAATAAAATTGACTTCACAAAATTAAAAATTGTCATGGGCCGTTTTTCACTAAGACAGCTGGATAGGCTGAGATAGGATAGGATCCCAAAGGGCTAAAATAAGGTAGAAGAGCAATTATCAACAGACTGCACGTTTGAATTTTGTGTAAACAATGTATTCTACGCACATTGTATATATCGTATTAAGACTTGTAACACAGCTCAACAACTGCCATCCTTTTAATAATGAATGAAAAGATAATCTGCCAAAGATTTTAACTTAACAGACATGATGGTTTCTTTTTTAGATCGTTATACCAAAGGATGTTATGCAGTTTCTGTTACTGGACGGTTGCCAGCTGGTATAATTCGTGAACTGAAAAGCAGAGGAATTACATACAGATCTAGGGATAATAGTGTAAAATCATAGTAAATGATCACATTTACATCAGTAGTACTAATGTGGCAGAGACGCATGGGGTTCCAGTCATGTGGCTGCTATCAGCATGAACAGTTGGTTGTACGGCAAATCCTCTAATTTCAACATCAATTTGTTTGGCCAGAAATGTAATCAGCCCATTATGCAGTAATAGTGGCAGATCACAATTATTTTTTTTTATAAGGATACATGTATAATGTTCATAACTTGGTATCTTTCCAGACCCTACAGCTCATTTGTATTTTTAAAAATATATTTTTGGGTCCTTATAATTTCATACTTATAAATGGAATTTATTAGTATACTGCCTTTGTTGTAATATTTGTGTTCATTTCATTTGAAGAAATTTTGTGTTAAGCCAAGATTGTTATACAGAAATATCTTTCTCACTATTTAGATATTGAATAAAAGACAGTTAATGTATACTATTTGTTGAACCAGATTCATTATCTTCTTTAAAAACTTATTAAAAAGCTTATTGATAATTATCATACTGATGTGTCTAAATGACAAGAATATATTAATAACTGTTATCAGTCGTGGGACAGATTGTAATGAAGATAATTACAATGAACAAAATTAAATTCTTTGAAAACATTAACAAAAGTTAAATTTACTTCCACTAGAAAGATTTATTCCCACTTGGATACCTTTTATGGCAAGTATAACAGTATCTGGTTAAACAACACAAATAATGAAACTGATGCCTGGGGTTATTTTGTCAATAATACAAGCATAGATACTGTGGACTCAATTAGTGATGCTGACAGCAATGACTTTTGGTTTAAAGTAGATTTAGATAAAAGACCAGCTGGTAATTTTCATACAGATTATTTTACAGACAGCGCTGACAAAATATTTTGTTACACTCCTCGTGAAAGATGCATACCGATAGTACTTGTCATTTTTACAACCAAATATTGTGTAGTGGTAAAAGATAGTACCGTTACATTATAGTACCATTTGTAAATGGCAACTTGAGAAACAAGTAATATTCCAAATATTTTGTTTCAAGTGGAAAAAATTGCAAATTAAACAAATCCAAGACACTGCGAATATCTCAATCCATAAATGTGAAATTAATGACTCACTCACAGCTGGTGTATTAAGACATTGACAGACTTGCACAAATACATGTAGGGTCTTTAGAAACCTTAGATCACCTTCATATTTTGTTCACTTACTAAGAATACTGAAACGTATGCAAGACAAATGACACGTACTGATGATTAATATCTCCCACCCTTCAAAAAAAAGACTTTGTAGCATCTGACCAGATTGTTGTAAAAACCTTGTGTACAGTCAAACCGTAGTACAACAAAAATGTATTTGAGTTAATTAGTTTGGCATGAGGTAATTAAAATTGTTTCACAAACAAAAGGCAAATTATTTTAGTCTCTAAAGGAGGTGAATTTGCAAAAATGCAGCTGAATGAGTGTTTACACAAGGCGAGTGAGATCGATGAGTTGTGTGTAGATTCATGCTGTGATTTGTATTTGAATGCAACACTTGACTCGCTATGATGTTTACATCAGGTATGATTTCTACAGAAATAAATTAAATACAGTAACACTGTAACACAGACAACCGATGATGGGGCTGCAGAAAAACCACCTAAAATTCGCAGTATTACAGTGTATGGCAACTCGGACGCTAACTGTTCTGTTCTATGTGTTTGGGCCTCAAACATTTACTAGATGTACCTCAACAAGCCATAAAATGATTGTTAAAGGACAGCTACAAGCTACGGCTACAGTAGTTCAGTAAATGCTGAACAAAAACTATCTTCTATCAAAGGTTAGCGTACTGTTGAACAATAGATAATCCAAAAAGTAATATTACCACTGTTTGCATCCATGTAGTCATCCTTTCATCGTGTGTGTGTGTAGAACAGTGCATATGGTCAGATAAGCAACTGTTTCTGAATAAGAAAAAATGAATTATTTCCAATTGGCACGATTTTCCAATGTAAAAATCTAATACTGTGGTATTATTTCACATCCATTGAGTGAAACTTGCCACTAAAACTAACTTGGTACAACTACAGTGTCCCATGAAGTACAGATGCAAGTTCGCTTACTTCTAGTACTTTTGCTTTTCTCTCAAAATGCTGGGTAGACGCAATTTCCTGATATAATGCCATGTGAAAACCTTATTATAAAGTGCTCTGTGATGTAAAAGTAACGTAGGTAGGCAAAAGCATTAATCGTTCAAAGCAGTATTAGTGTCTGGTTAATCGTTTAGATATAATAAAGAAATACAAATCTCAAAAATAATATTTTGTTTTGATTGACAATTACGGATACCAATAATGTGAATGGTCTTTTCTTTCACACAATCACTTTGTAGCAAGAAGGTGTTGAAGTTAAAGTTGTATTAAAAATGTTTATTATACAGAGGTCGTCATAGAAATTGGGGGAACAACTGGAAAAAGTTATGGGTTTTAGGCACAATTTGCTGTATATAAATAAGACAATGTGATAAACGTCAAGTAAACTTGGTCAACAGACAATGTTTTATTTATATAGGTATAATATTTTGACATTACTTATGGTTCAGAAATTGAGTACACAGCATCTCTCATTGCTTTATCGCTGGCTGATATGTTCACCTTAATTAGCTTCAATTCCTGTTGAGTAGCTATTCTTATAGATACGCAGTGGAAACAACCAGAGTCTTCAAAGAGGTTACCAATGCATCTATAATATTGACCACGTATTATTTTTGGTATGGAACGATCCTGCAGTGGAAAATAGTTGCACTTTTTGAAATATCCTGTGTCTTTTAATGATATAAATGTACTTAAACATGAACAGACAAATTCTTTTAAAGCTGGATTAATGATTGAAAAATAATTATAGGATAGGATATTTATAGATTCATATTTATATTTGGTTATGTATGCATGAAAAACAAAGTATTGTGGTGGTTGATATAACATCTGACTACTCTTGAATTGGTACTTTGGAGAAAAACAATCATTGATATATCAGAATTATCAGAATAAAAGATAATTTGTTGACCGTATTTATTTAGTGCCCTCAATGGTGTGCTTGATCATTTGTTTTAATTCTGGCTGCTGTGTCTGTGCACAGTTAGTTGATTGGATGATTGGTGGGGGAGAGAGGTTAATAGAAGGATTGTTATCATTAGGCAAACATAATGTGAAAGAGGTTTACTTGGTGTGAGGGTGGTGTGTTCTGAAACAAATTGGGACTTGTAAGAGGAATTGTCATGAATGTTGGAATCATGTACTCAGTCATTTCATGTACAGTTGAGTGAGCTATGTTTCATTTTAATACCATATATTCTTGTCAGTGGAACAGTGTTTTCTTATGCTAGGATAGCAGATTATAATTGGCAATATACTGATATACATACATTTTGCCAAGAAAGTGTCAATTATAGCTTAAGTATAGCTGTGTGTATAGAATGTTTCTTGTATATAAACATATCATGGTAATTGATATGAATGACCTTTGTTACTTAGTCAGTAGTCCTTAGCATATAATCTTCATAATTAAGGCAAATATACTAATTTAATTATTACTAGTATATTTTCTCATGTGTATTTTCATAACTGGATTGAGATGGTTCAAGAAAATGTTGTCCAATTAATTTGTTTCAAAGAATATGATACTTAAAATTTCAAAGAAGATACACTTTACTGAGTTGTTTGTATCTCTGAGAATGAATTTGTTTCAAAGAATATGATACTTACAATTTCAAAGAAGATACACTTTACTGAGTTGTTTGTATCTCTGAGAATGAATTTGTTTCAAAGAATATGATACTTACAATTTCAAAGAAGATACACTTTACTGAGTTGTTTGTATCTCTGAGAATGAATTGTTTCCCACATCCATCTGTTCTTGTAGAGACAGCAGAATCTACCATTGCTATGAAGTAAGCATAACAATGTGATATGAGAGTTTATTATAACTTTGTAATTTCTTTGACCAAAACTGAGTTTGAGATGAAGGTTTCCCAATAAATTTGTAGCTTTTATGCACCTGTAATGTAGATTTCAAAAATTTAGGCTACATTCATTTAGTTTATCAAGTAAACAGATTATGAGATTAATTTAAGTTAATTTAAGTCATCATTTTCATCACAATTTAATAAAAATCAACCACATTAAAAAAAATCATTAAACTTACCATACACTTCAAACAGTAAATTGATGTTACTAGAAACTTCTTTCCAATGCTTCATTCCTTCAATAGTGGCAGTAATAATTTTTAAAGACTTGTCCTGTGTTGGTTGTTTTATGCGGATATCATTCGTTCCATCATCAATATTGTTTGAAAGATTGGCTGTAGCCTGCAAGTCATAAGTATTGATTTCCATTTAGCAAAAACATAGTATAACTATTACAACCTTGTCCATCAAGAGCTTATATAAAATAACAAATGAATGGATTGAAAATCTATATTAAGTACATGTAATAAATGGATGGATAGTTACAAGCTAACAATGCACAATCTCCTTTGAATTGGCAAAAGTGAGTATAAAAGTCCTGAAACAATATATACAAATAGAGAAAATAGAGGCTTAAAATTAGAGTATGGACAATTCTTACCAAAAATAACAATGAAGTCATTACATAAAAAAATAATTAATACTGATGTTCCTCAAATAATATATGTACTATAGTAATCTCAATGTTCTTGACATAATATTAATAATGCAACATGAATTGTATAAAATGCCCCCAAAAATATTAGTATAGCAACTTATCTAAGCAGAATTTAAGACAAATTATGTCCAATGTGATCCCCAATTAAAACTACATTTATTGTATTAAGGTAGAGATGCAGTTTATTTAGCTTGCTTTTTAATTGAGTAATTAGACAATGAAGATGGTATTATATATTCAACATGTTATATATTTTCTGAAAGCTTATTATACAAACTTTGTAAAACTTGTCTTTATTTTAAATATCCTGAATGCGTTTTTGATTTTGGGTCAAAAATATGC